GCTGTTTTTTGCTGGCAGCCGAGCTGCTCTGCAGCTTCTTTGGGGAAGAGGTAATGCCGACCGGATCAAGGGCCCTTTCCCCACCTGCCTGCCTCCCTTGGCAGTGTTGGGCATCTATCCTGCAGATGGGTGGGTAGAGAGCTCCTTGGAGCCAGGGCTTTTCTCACCTCTCCCTGGTTCCTTGATATGCCAACTCCTTGATATGCCAACTCCTATTGTGGAACTCCTGTTGTGGAACTCCAAAAACAATGTCCGTGAAAAAAATAATGAAGAGTCAATAAAGATAAGTTGAAAAAAACATTTACTGAAGTATTTCTGTAGTTCTATAGTTGTGAAGTTGTGAAGTCAACATGGAATGTTTCCAGCAAGAATTGATAAGTAGTATTTGATAAGAATTGGGATTGCTACACGCTCAGATATAGTAAATATTGTGAAATGAATGTTCACATTGCACAGTATTGGTTAGCATGTGAGACATATCCGTGGCTAGATTTAATGTTCTTCCTTCAGCTATCTTATCTGGCAGATTCCAAGGGATTCCCTATCCTAGCAGGTGCTGTTCTTCTATGGAGGACTGTGTTGAAACTGTCGCCCATGCCCTCCTCCAGTGCCCTCTCTATTTGGCATCCCGTCGGGATCTTCTATATCCCATATTAGGCCAATTTTTAGAGACCCCTGATGATTTTAAGCTCCTTTTCTTGCTCGATAATCGAGATACAGAAATAACTGAAATAGTAACAAAGTTTCTCTGCAGTGCCATGGTCCTATGGCCTGATAAGTGATACTATGAATTAGGTTTTATTATGATGTTACTCTCTGATGTTTCTCAAGAGACATGTGAGGTGGTCTGGTGTTTCCATCTCTTTAAGGACCTGCCATAGTTTGTTGTGAGCCACACAGTCAAAGGCTTTAGCATAGTCAATGAAGCAGAAGTAGATGTTTTTCTGGTACTCTCTTGCTTTCTCCATAATCCAGCGAATGTTGGCAATTTGATCTCTAGTTCCTCTACCTCTTCGAAACCCAGCTTGTACTTCTGGCAGTTCTCTATCCACGTACTGTTGAAGCCTAGCTTGTAGGATCTTACTCTGTAATTTTAATTTTACTCTGCATGATTTTGTATTTAGATTACTGTATCTTTATTTATATGCCAATAAAAGGCTTTGGGTTGGTTGGTTAGCATGTGAGTGATGACAGAAGGATATTCCTTACAGAACTACAGAGATACTTCAGTAAATGTTTTTGCAATTTATCTTTATTGACTCTTCATTATTTTTATCACAAATGTTGTTTTTGGAGTTCCACCTCTTCCCGTGATCTCTCATTTTGGCTTCAACTCCTATTGTGAGGCTGGCAGAGGAGGATGGGTCTCTAGCTTGGCATCCCTTACTGACTGGGCATTGCAGACAGAGGGATGACTTGCATTCTTGGGCATCTGTGAAACTTATTGGGGGTGCAAGGTCTGGGGCGCATGCATGCACACAAGAGCACACCCCACCAAACCCCCTGATGAGGAGCTCGGAGATGTGTGCTCTTGGAAGCAGCTGGATGGGCAGGTTGCACTTCCTCCAGCAGGTGCGCCTCATCCTCCCCGGTCACTGCCCACTTAAGCGCTGTCTCTGCCTCCCCCCCAACTCCACAAATGCCCCCTTGGCAACCCTCGATGCACCCCCCAGAAAAACTTTCTAGCTACAGGCCTGACCCACTTCCTGGAGATGTTGGTGTCATCTAATTGAAAAAAATAACCACTCCAGTCTTGGTCCCAAAACAGTCCCCCATGGATAATAAAAGCATAACTGCCACTTCTGCTTGTTCATTCTTTCCCCCTCCTTTGTGGGGTGCCAGTCAGTCATTGTAAAAGTAGGAAAATGAAATTAATGCAGATGAGGGGTTTTTTTTAAAAAAAATGCTGGTGGTGCTTCCCCCCCCCCCTGAATCAGTGGAGGGAACTGCACTTGCACTGAGAGTCATCTTGGGGTCTGTAAAATCAAACCACTTTGTCCAATTTCTTGAAACTGGGGTTGGGGTCTTTAGATCAGAGGGAGGACTATATTCTGTGCAAATTTGGTTCCATTATCTTTATAAACAGGTACCCCAGACCCTCCAATAGATTCCCCACTGAAAGTAATGGTCCCAAAGCATTGGAAACCAAAATAAAACACATGGATTTGAATCACAAACCAGCAATGTAGTACATGAACATAAGCAATTATGGATCCCCCCAGCCTCAGATACGAAAGTATAATGTGTTTCTTTTCTTTTCTTGGTGCTCTGTATGTGTGCTCTAACAAGGCAGGGGGACACCAGGCTTTATTTAGGGCATGGCCACTTCTGTGGAAAATCCAGAAGAGATATCTTTAGGAGTCACTGAAAACTCTGTGGTAAAACTCTGCATGAGATCAAGGTACCATTTCAGTCAGCAGTTGATCTGTAGTGTTCATTCAGTAGATGGACTCTGAGATCTAACACAAGAAGCTGGTCAAATGAAATTCAGAGTAAACTGCCCCCAAACTTTCCCTCCCTGAACACCACCTGCTCTTTCCTTGTAAACAGAAGTTGCAAGCTAAACTACCCTCTTGATAGATGGTATTCTTTTAACATCATTTCATGTCGGAGCCCTGCTTTTTAACAAAATAGCCCTTGAGAATAAAATACAGTTCACTGAAGGGTCAACCAAATAGGACTTTGATGTGCAATTAACAATAAACTATATCTCATTACCTAGTGATAATGCACTGCAGCTTCTACCAGAGGTTTTATTAATCAAAGGGCCTTGGGGGCCTTATTTTATTACATTTCATGCTGAAGTTATTCTATTATGAAAGGATGACACTTCTGTCCACATTTGTTCGGCCTGATGGAATGTAACAGAAGGATCTTATTTCACGCCAAAGCCACAATGCGCCCCCCCCCAATTACTAGCTAAATCAGCAGAATAAAAGCTGTTAAAACTACCAATTAGGTTGTTTTTTTAATATACTGGGCAATGATTGCCATTCAATCCCACAGTTAGGCTGTGTGATTGGCAAGGCACTATAGAACCATTATGACCCTCAGCATGTCTTGCATCTCTCAATTCATGTTCTTTTATGTGCCAACTACTTTCCAAAGGCAGATTACATAAATCATATTTACCGTCAGTCAAGAACAGCTAATATCAGGAGAGACAAACGATTGATAACTGATATAATACACCAACCATGGAAAGCAGCTGTTTTTGTGAGCTGTTCTGGGTGGGTGATAACAGCAACAAAACAACAGTACAGGTACTGAGATGAGCAGAACTATGGAGATTTGAAGCATACACACATGCCCACACACACACAATTTCACCCTGCAGAACAACCTGCTCTTGAAAGAAGACAATTCTTAAGAAACCCTGATGGTTTCCTTTGTTTTCACTGAAACCTTGAACATTAGTGTTCTCACCTACCAATCAATGTCTACCCCAGATACCAGTTTTGATGCACGTTTATTTCAGTCATTTAACTACTATTACATCTTGCAGCTATTTGCTGAAGATGTGGCAGGGGGCAAGTACCAAGATGTCAAAGAACATGTGGAATGTGTGACCAGATTCTTTGGCTTCTAGTGGGAACCATGGATATTTGAGTGTATCCCCACACACACCCATGTATAATTACACGAAGGAATTTTTTACAAGGCATACTATGAACTCCCACCTTCTCCCAGAGTCTTCTGCCTGGAGATGCTTGTCCCTAGTTATATCGACCTGCTACATTAAGCCTACTTTATCTTAAATGGGTGGTATGGATATATGTTTTGACTATGGATGGGTGAACCTATCAATTTTTATTAGGGTCGCAACACATTTTGCCACAGTGTTTCCAACAGCTGAATTTACTATGTTTGAAGATGTTCGTCAGATGTGAGCTAATCACTCAGCCTGTTTGGTCCATGCCAAACAGCTGCAAATGCCTGCCAAACAGGTCAGCAGTATGTTTTTGCAAAACTGCACATGCACAAAGGTGCTGCCGAGAGCAGCAGGCATTCGCGCCTCTGGGGACTACCAAGATGAACATCAGCGGGTCGGGCTTTATTGAAGTGCAGTGTTTGTTTATGACTGAATTATGTGACCCATGACTGATGTCATTGTCTATTTAAACAACTGGCAGCAGATTGGAGCAGTTAAGCAACAAAGCTGGGGTGTAGCAGAACCTCAGTTGGGCTCTGTGAGAATGCACATGCACAAAAACCAAGGTACTCTGTACTGCCTGGTTAGGAGCAGCAGCCATGAAGAGGTCAATAAACAGGAATACCAGGTCCCCCCGGCCACTGGTGGGAGATGGGGGGGGCAGGGTTGCCAGATCCAGGTTGGGAAACTCCTGGAGATTTGGGGATGGAGCCTGGGGAGGACAAGGGCATCAGTGGGGTACAATGCCATAGAGTATACCATCCAAAGCAGCCATGTTCTCCATAAGAACATAAGAGACACCAGTGTTGTATCAGGCCAAAGGCCCATCCAGTCCAACACTCCGTCACACAGTGGCCAAAAATACCAGGTGCCATCAGAAGGTCCACCAGTGGGGCCAGGACATTAGAAGCCCTCCCACTGTTGACCCCCCCCCCCAAGCACCAAGAAGACAGAGCATCACTTGCCCCAGAGTCCCTATCTATACTTTGTGGCTAATAGCCACTGATGGACCTCTGCTCCAGGGGAACCAATCTCTGTAGTCTAGAGATGAGCCGTAATTCCAGGGGATCCCCAGGTCCCACCTGGAGGCTGGCATTCATAATGAACAGTCAAACCGATCACAGAAAAATCAGCCTATTCGTGACTGGTGGACCTAAGCAAAATGAGCAAGTGTTTGAGCATCCCTAACGGTCAGTTCTTTTTGACATCTTTAATGCTCGAGGAACCCAAATTCTTTTTTTTTTCTTATTATTAAAACAAAAACCCAAGTTCTGCTGCCCCTAGGGTCCCGTAGGAAGATGGAAAGGCGGGATAAAAAGCTTAAATTAATAAATAAGTGCATGCTTACAGCTTATTTCAATTCGGATGAAGTCACTCATTCCAAGGTTTTCTAAGATGACCCCAGACGTAGCATTGGTTTTGAAGAAAAGTGAAATGTCAGTATTGAACTCCATATGGAAGGTGGGGAAGTGAAGATAGGAGGCCTCAATGTTGAAGGAAGCTGTGTTCCAGAACTGTCCTGCAAATAGCAACAGCCTTCTCTATAGTTAATCAGAATCAGGGAGTCAACAAAAAATGGGGGGGGGGGAATCAATCGCCCACTTCTAACAAATCACAAAAAAGGATAGTCCATGAAAGGCAAAACAACAACACCAAAAGTGAGAAACACCCACAAAAGCAAAGTCCATAGATTTGATTGGGTATATACAGTGTGGTTTAGTAGTTAAAAGTGTTGGGATAAGAACAGGAAGACCCAAGGTGAAATCTGACTTCGCAGTGATGCTCAGTGGGTGACCGTGGGGCTCTCCTTTCCTATCAGCCTAACAACTGCATAGGATTGTTCTGAGGATTTTGCGAGGAGAACATACACCACCCTGAGCTCGTCGGATGAAGGGCAGAATAAACAATAAGGTGGGGAAAGTTCAATTTTCTATCAAGTATACTAAAAAGGCTTCCACAAAATAGTGCCCAATACATTTTGTGCAATGCACTGGGCATTGACAACATTATGAAGTCTATTTTCAGTATAAGAAAACTTTTTGATATTATAGTATATAAATATACATTCTTGCGCAACCTGCATGAAAGGATAGAGAGAAGAGCTGATACTCACTATCTCCATAACAACGCAAAGGACCAATTTTCAGTGCCGCTTCAGAATTAGGTCTGTTTGTGTCAGTGACAACTATCTGGTTCACAGGTAAGTGGTCTTTGAAGGAAAGGAAGCCGGTATCATTGGTCCTGGATATATATATATATACACACACACACAAAAGGTATATAAATAAAAACCTGTAATCCCCAGCAATTTTTGCAACAAAATACATATTTGTAATATTATTACTTTGATTGCTAAAAAGGATTCAAACTGTTTGTAGATAAAAATGCATGTACTAGCTAATTGCCAAAAGGATTAAACCTACTGAAACCATATTAAACATCAGGGTTCTAACTCCTACTCATTGCTATATCAGTTGAAATCTCTCTCTGTCTCTCTTTCTCTTGTCTTAATTCCATAAATGCCAATGCCCTGATGAAGCAGAGCAAAAATGGGGCATGCTGTAGAAAATGTCCTGTTTTTAGCTCCTTTGAGATGAAATTTCAGGATCATTAACAAAAATCACTGCAGCTGATCCTAATTTCTATTTATATAGGGACAGTGGTAATCTCGTTTTACCCATTGTGGCCTCTCAGAAGCCCATAGGAATGCAAAGAGATCCTGAGGGAAATGCTTGCAACAAGCACGGATGGGAATAGGATTGAAAACAGGTGGGATTTTGCATGTCCACTCCCACTATATGACATCATTTGTGCGGTTTTCCCGATTAACCAGGGGCCAGTTACAGGCTTTTGTTAACAGAAGAAAAGAACTGGACAGCTCTGGCTTGACTTGTCAGCAGAGGTCATTTTGCAGAAAAAGAGGTGCAGGAGCTCATTAGCATAACTCATTAGCATAACTCATTTGCATCACCGGAAGTGTGTCAGAAGGCAACACCCACCACTCAGGCTCCACTGGACTGTTTTGGATTGCTAGCTATTGGGGGAGGGGGGACATGCAGATCTGTCCTCGCAGAGGAGGGAGAGCTTGTACCTGAATAAAGGTGCCACTGGACTGTTTTGGACCGGGGGGGGGGCTTACCTGGCTGCTTCTTGGTCTAACTGAGGGCTGCTGGGAACAGGGGGTGGGGCTTGTTGCATGTGCCCACCCCCTGGGCTCTTTACTGCCAGAGCTCTGCTCCTGTGTAAATTACAGCAGGCAATGACCCCTGCTTGTCAGGAACAGGTTGCAATTTGTTATGGACCAAGTTATTGAGTATGTTGTCACTAAATTGGGTGCACAGTCTTGAAGACATGAAAGCTTCAAACCATTATGCTTTATATGGAATTAACTCAGCATCTTTAACCACCCTGAAACATAAACATTGCAGCCAACAAAACCTGCACACCAAAAGTTTTAACATGCTCGACAAGCTGAAACTCAGTTGATTTTCAAAGGTAGTCAAATTGCTGAGTCCAGTCTGGGAACACCATAGTTTAGGATCTTTCTGTGCATTCAAAGCATGCCCCAAGGACTCTAGCACATAATTCCAAAAATCCTGGTCCATGGCAATAGTGTGCTACTCTATGAATGATGGATAAGCCTTGCTGTAATGGGACATATGTGTGCTACTTTGGGGAAAGAACAAAATTTCCCTCCAGGCTAAACTGGTGCAGAGATCCTGGAGGTTTATTGCCTTCCTCTAGCCATAGAACAGGGGTGAGTGGAGGAGAGGTAACTGTGAATTTCCTGCATTGTGCAGAGGGTTGATGACCCTTGAGGGTCATCCAGCTCTATGTTTCTATGTAAATGTAGGTAATAAGGATAAACACAAACCGCATGGACACGAACCATGAACAAAACCAGTTTACTCTCTGATGAACTGTTTTGGTTTGTGGGCGCAGCAAGCCTCGTTTAAGGAGACCACAGTCCCTTTAAAGGGGTTTTTCAGAAAGCTGCAAAAACAGTGGAGAAGTGAGAGCACTCACAGCTGCTCAGCTATTTTGGGCTTTCTTGTGCAGTCCTTTTAAATATTTTTAAATATTTTTCATTAGACTTGTATCCCACCCTCCCCGCAAGCAGGCTCAGGGTGGGTTCCATCGATATCAGTACAATTTACAGTAACAAAACCAATTTAAGACAAAAATTAAAACAGTCCAAAAGTCATAAAATACCGTGTACGATCTAATCAACTATCCGAGCAATTAAAATGGAACTGTAGCGTGGGTTCCCAGATGGCTGTTCGAATCTGGGACAGTGATGGGAGGCCAACCAGAGGGGGGGGGGCATCCACTGTCTCAGCTAAAAGTTCGGTGGAAGAGCTCCATCCTGCAAGCCCAGCAGAATTGTAATAAGTCCTGCAGGGCCCTGATCTCATATGGGAGCTCATTCCACCAGGTAGGGGGCAGGGCTGAAACGGCCCTGGCCCTAGTCGAGGCAAGTCAGATATCCCTGAGGCCGGGGACTACCAAAAGGTGTTGATTTGTGGATCGCAGGGCTCTACATGGCTCATATGGGGAGAGGCAGTCCCAAAGGTATGCTGGCCCCTGGCCATATAGGGCTTTAAAGGTAAGCACCAGCACCTTGAAACTGATTCGATATTCAATAGGCAGCCCATGCAGTTCATGCAGCGCTGGGTGGATGTGAGTCCACACAGGCGTCACCATCAACACCTGTGCTGCCACGTTTTGTAGCTGCAACGTCCAGAGCAGAGTCAAGGGCAGCCCAATGTAGAGAGAGTTACAATAATCCAATCTGGAAGTGAGTATTGCATGGGTCACTGTAGCCAGGTCCAGGGGGGCGAAATATGAGGACAACCAGGGGTCATTTCCTGCAGGAGTGCACAAGAGCAGAGCTCCCGCAGTAAAGAGCCCAGGGGGCGGGCACATGCAACAAGCCCCACCCCCTGCTCCCAGCAGCCCCAGGTCACGAGAAGTAAGAAGCCTCCTTCCTTCTTTCTTTCCTTCCTTCCTTCTCTCCCTCTTTCTTTCCCCCCTTCCCTCCTCGTTTCCTTCTCTTTTCCCCCTCCTTCCTTCCTGCACAGATCTGTGCATCCCCCCCCCCAGCTAGCGATCCAAAACAGTCCAGTGGCACCTTTAAGGCCAAGGTTTCTTCAGGTACAAGCTCTCCCTCCTCTGCTATGGCAGCTCTGCACGCCCCTTCCTCCCATAGCTAGCAATCCAAAAGAGTCCAGTGGAGCCTGAGTGGTGGGTGTTGCCTTCTGACACACTTCCGGTGATGTCAGGGGGTGTGGCATATGCAAATAAGTCATGCTAATGAGTTATGCTAATGAGCTCCTGAACCTCTTTTTGTACGAAATGACCCCTGAGGCCAACTGTCTGCTCTGCCTCAGATGGAAAAAGGCAGACCTGGCAGTGGTCCAGGAACACCCCCAGACTCTTCACCCTCGACACTGGCACCAGTGGAGCCCCATTGAAGGTTGGAACCCTGATTCCCACTCCCAGTCCCTCGCAATTCAGATGCAAGACCTCCGTCTCCGATGGATTTAGCTTCAGTTGGCTCTGTTGCAACCATCCAACCACACCTTGTAACGCCCCGTCCAGATCTCCTGTGGCAGCATCTGGGTGGCTGTCCATCAGTAGATAGAGCTTGGTGTCATCCGCATACTGGTGACAACCCAACACATAACTCCAGATAATCGGGGTGAGGGGATCCATATAGATGTTAAACAGCTTAGGGGAGAGAATTGCTTCCTGCGACACACCACATTCCAGTGGGTGCCATTGAGATAACTTCCCCCCAAGCACCACTCTCTGCCCCAGACCCTGGAGAAAGGAGGTCAGCCACTGCAAGGCAAGCCCCCGTATCCCCGTGTCAGCAAGGCGGTGGGTTAGCACATCATGGTCAACCATATGGAACATTGCTGACAGATCAAGAAGTATCAGCAATGCTGATCTGCCTCAATTCAGATGTCTCCAGACATCATCCACCAAGGTGACCAGCATTGTCTCCATCCCATGGGTAGGGTGAAAGCCGGACTGGAAGGGATCCAGGACTTTAGCATAATCCAAGAAAACGTGAAGCTGCATTGCCATTGCTGTCTTCACTACCTTACCCAAGAGAGATTGAAGAAGAAGAGACTGGATTTATACCCTGCCCTTCACTACCCAAGGGAGTCTCAGAGTTGCTTACAAACTCCTTTCCCTCCCCCTCCCCACAACAGGCACCCTGTGAGGTAGGTGGGGCTGAGAGAGCTCAGACAGAAACTGCTCTTTTTTAAGGACAGCGATGTCAGCTAGCTGCCATGCTTTCATCGTTTACCTTCAACCCCAACTCTTGTGCACGCGCGCATGCTTGCTTTGCTTTGCTGCCGTGGGTAACTTAAGAGAGGCTCGCTTTCATCCGTGAGAACTAGCTTAGCCAGACAGCGCTAACAGCGCAACCTTGACGAGAAGGGAGGGCTTGAGTTCCACTATCGGTGTGAATATTTCTGCTCTCAGGGGGTGGGGAGAGTCTCCCATTCATGATGTAATGTCCCGCCGGGAGAATTCCCACGCGAGTGCTTGAAGTTCATTTGCTTAGCTAGTTGAAGCATCAGAGTATATGTAGCGAGTCCCTTGCACTAATCGTTATTCCTAACAATGTACCTGTAAGCAGTGACAACAGACCAGTATTCCAATAAAGCATAACTATTCCTGAAGAGTGTGTTTGGACCTGCTTGCTGTTGATCCTGACAAGCTCTTATCAGAACTACAGCTTGCCCAAGGTCATCCAGCCAGGTGCAAGTGGAGGAGTGGGGAATCAAACCCGGTTCTCCCAGATTACAGTCCGTGCACTTAACCACTACACCAAACTGGTGTAGTGGTTAAGGTAAGGAATGGTAAGTTACACACTGGGCGGTAGTTATTAAGAACCATAGGGTCCAAAGAACACATTTAAGGAGAGGGTAAACCAGCACCTTCCTTCAATCCCCCTGGGAAGGTACCCGTTGAAAGGGAAAAGTTAAAAGTCTCCCTCTGGGGGGTCCATGCCTCATCACTGTTGGCTTTGACAAACCATGATGGGCAGGTATCCAGGGGCCACATGGTAGACTTCACAGCTGCCAGGGTCTTGTCAACTTCATCCTGAAGGTGGCCAATGGACTTCCCGTTCTCTTATTGTATCAAATGTAGTTGGAAATAAATAAAGTTTGAAATGTTAAAAAAAATGTGGTTGGAAGGTTGCAGTGGAGCAACAGGACTTT